GATTGTAGGGAGAGAATACAATATATCGTACTGAATAATTATATGTAATAGAGATATCCAATTGCAATTCATGATAAACGATGATGAACATTCGATAAAGTCGGTATATTACCGCAATTAATCTTAATGACGTGAACGGTAATTATCGATTATCCTGCGACAATCTCTAGGCACTACTGGTACCGCCACATAATAAATTTACTCCTACATCGTGATGTAAATGCCATCTAACTAGTACACGGACAAAGTAGCCGCCGACACTGGCGGCGCGGCGAAAGGCGGAGAATTACGCCCATGGTCTAGCCCATCGGATTCCTGAATTGCAAAGTGTACTACGCCATATGCCGCATAATCAACGATCGTCAATGTGTCCGCTGCAGCGGAACGGTTATAACTCTATGAGGAAGACGAACGTCGCTATGATGGAAAGTTTAATGTCATAAACATTAAATCTTTATGTAGTTGTTAATAAGCGACATCAGTTTCTTATACAAGCATATGTTTTATATATAAAATAATTATTACGGAATGCATTGATTTTTTGTGAATAAATAAATGTAGTCATCATGCGAAACCTACCAATAAATTATGAATAAAATTATTAATGCACGACATAAAACACATGCGACCGTTTTAACTTAATCGACATAAATTAAAAGTGACATAACATCAACGTTATCATTCCGCACTCGACAACGTAATTATTATATAACACCGTGTGTTATTTTACATTTATATTGTTAAGTAAATTATAATATTGATATTATGTTAATAACTTTTAATTTGTGTCGATTGGGAACGAACGAAATAATGGAGTTATTAAACAAATCAATAAATGATAGATGGTGTTAGTTATACGTTTTGTACGTTCTGTCGATCGATCATTGAAATGGCAATGATCGGTCAAGATTAATGATTGTTAATTGTTACAAGTTGGAAGCTTCTTTAGATGAATATCAATTTCATATATAATTCCGTAACTACTTTAATATATGCATTCTAAACTTCAAAGATAAAAATGCCGAAGTGCATTAAGGTTACTATAATTTTCTACTATCAACTAAATGTAGCAGTAATTACAATAACATGCTACACTATTAGTGCATAAATTTACCATTATAACAGTAAAAATATTTTTTATTTATGTTAGAAACAATCCACTCAAATCCTTGTTAAAATTTTGAGTTGAATTTTGAATATATCCGAGGCTGCGTTCCGTTTACTGCGAATACTGAAAATCTATCATTCACGTTACATATACTATAAATTTTCAGTATACTCACAGTGAATAATAGAACGCAATCCGAATATTAATTTGGCATAATGTGATTGTGTTATTTGAACATTTCACGTTAAATTGATATTTAACATTTCTTAAGGTTAAAATAATACAATTTATGAGTAAATAAACAAATAAAAATAATGTTTTAAAACGTAAATTCTAAGGTAAATGAATAAAATGTGTCATAATATAGTATCTACATATTATAAACGTTAAAATTAATGAATCATGTGTTAATTTAACATATTATAAATGTTAATTTTAATGATGAAATATTATAAATGCTTACAAATTGTGTTACATTTTTTGTGTTAATTTTTTTACTTAGTATCTGTTATTTTTTAACATATTCATCTTGTGTAAAATTAACACAAAGCTTGAATAGATCGTTTGGATACATTTAAAGTGTTACATAATTTTCCGACATTTTTTAATCCATTAGCACAGTAGATATAAGAATATCGTGTCAAATAAAAATAACTTTCTTGACTATGATTTACGAAACAAGATCATGCTGCCAGATTGTTTGCCTATGGCGAAAGAAGATTAATCCTTTTTAGAGGAGGCAAATGCGCATCGTCCTGTAAAACATTGATTTCGACCTGCGCGCGCGTTCGCCAGATACTATCCAATTAGCGGCAAATTAATATTACGCGCGGTGTAATCAGGCTAGTACGCAGGCAGGGGAGCTGCGCACCGTTGCCAGCCTTCTCTCAGCATAATGACACGTATTACTCTGATTGGTAACAATTGGTAACAATTGACGGGCGGAACCGAGCCTCGAAGGTTCCGCTACTTTGCCCGCGTTGTTTACGACCAGAACTTCAAAACGTTACACCTTAATTGCGTGGCTACATGCTCGAAGAATTATCAAGGCTTCCTTACATCCCTACGTCATTACTTATTAGACATACAGTCGGCTCTAACATAAAACTTATAATACAGTAAGCTGTAAATTCTTTCATTTTTAGAACTTCGTTTAACTGAACGGAGCTTTCTCACGTGGAAGTGAATAAAAATGCAAAGGATCCTAACATCCGCTCGTTAATATTTTTATTATCTACCGCGAGATTATATAATGTAAATCGCGTATAAAGACAGGAATATAATATTGTATTATTTTGTAAAATTTAGATTAATATCAATTTTATATACAGCTCCACGATTACCGTATATACTTTAAGCGCATTCCAAACTTGAGTTAAAATTAAAAATAACAAAATATCTTGACAAAATGCGTCAGTCAATTATAATTTTCACATTATAAATTGATCAATAATATCACGTATTATTAAATCTGTACTAACTTGTTATCTATTTTATACAAACAATACTTATTTATTATATTATTAATATCGAGTTAAACAATATAAAAATAAATATCAGTACATGATAAAAAATATTTTGTACTTTTATGTTAAAACAAGTATTATTATTTTCCTGGGAAATTTAAATGGCTGGAAAAAACTCATCTCTCCTAGATTTTTTCTCAGGAAAAAACTTGGCATTGAGAAAAATGTTTTTGTAATGGTTTTCCATATATTCTTTTGTTCTAATCGTCTTTTAAAATTGGTAATAATTTCGTAAGTACAGACTGTACAATTTTTACATAAAGTAAATGTTGTCATGACGTGACAGCTCTAGAGCGCCATATTGGACTAAGAAATAGTAAAGATCTCAATTTCAAAATTTTTTGGCGTTCTCAGCATAGACTCAACCTCACAGACACATAAGAATACTTTAATCCTGAAAAAGGATTTTCGAACAGTAAAAGAGAAAAAAGTAATTGATATACAAAAATTATATGGTTAAGTCGATAATACAGACAAAAACATTTTTATTTTTGAAGTTTTTGTTTTACAATCGTATATAATTGTCTGAGATATTTTATTTCCATTTAAATAGCGTAGTTCTTACTTAATAAAGTCCAACAGATTTTTTTTGTTTATCTGTCTTGTTATCGTATACTATTAATGTTTTTAAAAAATAAACGGATGGGACTAGTAGGCTAATCACATTTAGTGACGACTCTGATAGTATCTACTCCCAAACTTCTTGGAATGAAATCTCACTCTAAAAGAGTGAAAATACAGTCAGTTTTAAAAAAGAGTGATAATGTTTCACTTCTTGAAAAAGAGTGGCAATATTTCATTCCTTTAAAGAGATTTACCTCAGTGGTAAATGTTATAAGTTTAGTTCCCTCACGTCCAATCTCGATAAAACTAGGCTCATTCGACGTGTTTTTGCATGAAAAGAACGAATTTAGCAAAAAGAAGCATTGTTCTGCCTTGTGAATCGAAATATTAATCGTTAAAGTTTATTAAGTTAGAAAATCTATCATTCACTACGCCCTGGTAAAAACGTTGATAGAGAACGATAGAAAAATCCTATCGTTTTGAATATGAAATTTGTTTCGTAAATTCACTAATTTGAATCAGATCTTACAGGAATCTAAATCTTACAAAATCCGATAAAATACGATAGGATCCGATCAATCGTGATGCTCACGAGGTCAACGATAGAAAATGATATAAACTTATAGAAAACGATACAAATTGATAGAAATCCTATCGTTCTCAATCATTCTCTATCAACTTTTTT